TTAATATGGTTTAAGTGACATCATGTTCCTAATTTATAATATTATTTAGATGTTATAATAATTTAAAGCGTTCACAGTGACATATGTCTACTTAAATTGTATGATGTTTGTTTTAATTTAGAATTAAAAAAATACTTATTTTAAAACCTAAATCATATTTGAATGAATAATAAATTAAATAGAAAGGTAAATTGATTGAGATAATTATTGAGGCACGTGGTTGAAATAGTGGAGATAATGGAATCATAATTTGTGTTTGGTAGTTTGGTCGGTAATTAATAAATTTGAAGCACAATTTAAGAAGGCGAGAATAGAGTTTGTTTATGATCGAATGACTCTGGTCGAACACGAAACCTGTTGAAAGTGTTGACCCGCAAACTCTCTGTTGTGTTCTTTTTCTGTGAATGTGCAGGTTTCGAAAGCTTTTTGTTTCATTTTCGAGTTATACAATACGCAAATACTCTTAATAGAATCAACCCTTGAGAGGGCCTCCTTGCTGGTAAACTCGATTGAATGGCTGCAGTATTATTAGGTGAAACATTTTTTTAACAATAGTTGTATCATGTAATGTCTGGACAATTGAAAGAAGTAAAAATGTTATTTTTTGTGTATATAAGAGTAAATATATACTTTCTAACAAATATTCACATATGAGCACAAACACAATTTTTCTTCTTCTTTCCTTATATTTAGAATAAAAGAGACAAATGTACATATATATTTTTATTTGAGGATAGTGCAATTCTCGCAAAAGTAAACAAAATGATATAGGAATTACAATGTTAAAAACTTGAAATGTTCATCATGGTCTGCAGGAACTCTACAATTCAAAATTCACCTTAATTCAACATTTAGCTTTCTCTGCACCTCATCACGCACCTTACTCTGCATTTGGATAAAATCACCATTTTAGAACATTGTAAGTTTTCAACACTAACAAAATTATTAGTCAAATGCATCCTTCCAATTACGTTTTTTCATATGGTTATTTGGAAAGTATCATTTTAGCTACATAAGTTTTAATTGTGCTTTTTTTTTTCTCAAAGGTAATTTTCTGGATCAATGACAAAAGGAGAAACACAAATGATTACCTGCAGATTATTGACTTCCTCGTCCGTAAGAGAGCGCTCCATGGAACGGAACACAATTCTGTAACAGTGACTTGTCATCCCTTTCTTATTGGTGAAATTGTCGATTAACTTCACCTGTGAATCGATAAAAAGGCTATGAACAATCAGTCTGAAGAACATGATGATACAAGTAAAGAAAAGCTGAAAATTAAATCCAATTCCTGTAAAGTTTGTATTCTCTCCCAAATAAAAAGGATAAGGCTGTGTACCTCTTCAACAAGATCCCCAGCAATTCCTCTAACAACTTCACAAAAGTTATTCTCTGTGAATGAGTCACTGATCCAAAAACTGATGTCCTTGTAACAAGGAGGATACTACAGAACAATATTTTGTTTAAATGGGTCTCAAACTGAAATTCATTAGTCTATGAGAAATGGACATGAAGATGGAAAAAATGTTTTACCTTTGAAAATGGCTTGAATTTGACACCAAGCTCTCCTTTTCCAAACTGCACAAACATCAGATGCATTGATGTGAGAAAAAAACTCAAATTTAGAGACGATTAATTTCATCACCCCAATTTTGTAAGTAATCATCAACTAAGCAATCACCTGGGACGTAAACCGTTCATCGGATGACCAGAAAAGTCTAATATCAGGGATGTCAAACAAAACCATAGCAAGCCGCTCCAATCCAAGTCCAAAGGCCCAGGCAACATTATTGTCTAACCCACTCTGCTTCAAAATTCCTTGCTCCGTCACCCCACAGCCCAAAACCTCCAACCAGTCTTCCTGAATCAATAACCAAGATAAACCTTGTTAGATGAGAAACTGAATTTTCTGTTAGATGCAAAATTGCTAGCTATAACACAACTCCAATATAAGTGTCCAGCCTATCCCACATGTAATCTTTTTGAATCTAGAATATGTCATGATCAACAAAAAAGATATCTGTTTTTGGAAATAGGAGATCACACAAAAATAGAAGGATGCGTGTTATGGCTACCTTAAAATATGCAAACATCTTTAAAGCAAAGCAAGCATAATCATGCAAAATTTCAGATAAGAAAAAATACCTTGAAATATATCTCAAGCTCGAAAGATGGATTGGTAAATGGGAAATATGTATCAACCCATCTCATCTCCACAGCACCTGGCAGCCAACAAAAAGTTTACATTAAAGAGTCACAGACTCACAAACTAGTTACTGTATATGTTTAAATTGTTTCATCTAAATATATGCATCTTCATTTTAAAGTTGATGTGGAATCAATGCCAGACTCAATCAAAAACATTAATCGTGAACTAGCTGAAGAATATACATAGTTAAAAAATACTTCTATTGAATGGATCTTAATTTACCAAACAAGTGACGTGCCAATCCCTCGAGACATTTCTTTAAATCCTCAGCAGCATGTAATGTGGAATCAATGTCAGACTCATTCCAGTCCTCAGGAGAAAAGACACAGAAGCCTTCCATCTGTATAAGATAAAACATAAACATCTAGTATAAGAAAGACATGATGTTGATTAAAACAGCTAAAGTAAAAAAAAAAAAAAAACAGGGACCTCGAGAATAGAACACCTGATGGAAAACTGGGTAATGAGTAGCATCGATAGAATCTCTACGGTAAACATCCCCGGTTACAAGGAAACGCCTATGACCTTTCCTCAACAGCTCAGCTTGGTGAGCACTTGTATGACATCTCAAAACAGTTTGCGGGTCTACATAGTACGTGTCATTAAGACTTCTGCTTACATGATCAGCCGGAACTAGCACATCATCAAAGTTCTGATACCAAAAGAATAACAAATCAAAGATACATTGATATTTCCAGGAAAAATATACAGTTTGTGTATGGAGAACTTACTTGCTTTGTGGAAACAATTGGGGAAAGATCTTCAAACTTCTCAAACTCTTTAGCGTAATTGGAATCAAAATAGTCGTATATAGCATTCTTTATGATCCCAATCGGATGCTTATCCCTTCTGTGTAGCTGCATTCCAAGTTTAGAGAAAATCGAGTCCGGTACATTGTTTGTAGGATCATCATCTCTCACCACATCTGCAAAATTCCTCCATTTGACAATCAAACACATTCAAAATTTAAATTAGAATCAACACAAAAGAATAAACAAATGTTCACAATCCTTCTCTTGTACCCAATAACAATTCCTAATGAGCTTCCACTAAATCAAACGAGTTAAATCAAATCCAACAACAGTTCTATAAATCAGAAGTACGAACCATTTCTAGCGATTGTGACGCCAGCAATATCAACAGCAGAGACGATTGGGTAACAACGACGCTTCTTCGTTTTGGGGAGAGGTGAAGAATAAACTGCGTTCGAGGAAAACGAAGACGCGAAAGAAAATCGTTTGAGTCCATTGCTAGAGAGAAGAACGACGGAAGCTCGGCTGAAGATAGTGGACTGAACTGAGAAAATGGTCATGGCGACTCAAGCTAAGTGGTAGACGCAACCAATCGGATAACAACATGTAAGAAATGAATCATACAATACCAAATACATGTAAGAAAAATGTATCAAAGCTGAACGAGATCCAGTTACAGCAGAACACAATCTCAATTATCCTATCGAAACCCATGAAATTACCCAGCTTTCGCCCCTAAACTAACACAATCCGATTTAAACAAATGAAGATCCCAATTCAGTTAATCAACCCGACGAATCATTGCAATTAGATGAAAAACAGTAACGAAATCGAAAGAAAGAGAGTGGAGATTTGATTACTTGAGAACAGGTTGCTGCTCCCGAAACCCTTATTCAATCGAGACTACAACATCGTAACCCATTTCCGTAATATATATATATCTCTTAATTTCGTTAGCCCACACTATAAACCATTTCACAGGCCCATTAGCCCAATTATTGTTTTGTTGATGACGTCAGCATCTCCTCGATAATTTTTTTTTTATTTTTTCCCATAGCCGCCGGTGGAGGAAACGGCGACGTATTGTAAAGGTAGATGATTGTTTGAAGAAGTAGCTAAGCTCTCTCTCTCTATCGTCGTCGGATTCTCCAAGAGTAGAGAGATTGAAATAGTTAGATTTGTTCCTTCTCCTTTGCGTCTAGATCGGTGAATATGGAAGTGGAGTAGCGACGGTGGTCGGAGGACGAAGGGACGGAGGATTACCGGCGCGGCGGTTACCACGCCGTTCGGATCGGTGACTCTTTCAAAAACGTTGTTCAGCGCAAACTCGGTTGGGGCCATTTCTCCACTGTTTGGCTCACTTGGGACACTCAATCCTCTGTACGTACCTCTCTCTCGCTGATTTTCATACGATTTGCTTCAAGCTAATCCTTACTTGAAAGTTAGTTCTATATCGTGGTGTACTCAATGTTGGTTAGGAACTAAGTTGAGATTCTACTCATCTAGTGAACAAAAGGAAATTGGTATCTAAGAATATGTTTCGGCAGTTGCTTTGGATATTAATTTGGTTACTTTGTTTGTGTGAGTTTCTTACTCTGTACTGTATTTTGGTTGAATGCACAGAGATATGTGGCTTTAAAGGTGCAAAAGAGTGCTCAGCATTATGCTGAAGCTGCAGTGGATGAGATAACCATATTGCAACAGATTGCAGAGGGAGACACTGATGATACCAAATGTGTTGTGAAGCTTTTGGATCATTTCAAGCACTCAGGTCCGAATGGGCAACATTTATGTATGGTTTTTGACTACTTGGGAGATAATCTGTTAACGCTCATAAAGTATTCTGACTACCGTGGCTTGCCTATTCCGATGTTTAAAGAGATTTGTTATCATATGTTGGTTGGATTAGACTATTTGCATAAACAGCTCTCGATCATACATACCGATCTCAAGCCTGAAAATGTCTTGTTACCTTCAAGGATTGATCCCTCTAAAGATCCCAGGAAGTCCAGAGCTTCTCTTGTTCTCCCAAATGCTAAGGATAAGACAGTTGACTCCAATGGAGATTTTGTCAAGAAATTAAAGAAAGACGTTAATAGAAAGGTAAAGCTTTCGGCTCAGGGAAATGCAGAGAAGAAAGGCATTATTGAATCTGATAAAGTTCATGAAGTGGGATCATTGGTTAATGGAAAACCGAGTGGCGACAAAAAATCGAAAGAAGAAGATTGTCCTTCTACTTCTGCTACAAATGGATTAGATGGTAGCGAGATAGGAAAGCAAGGCGGTAAGAAAGGGAGTCGATCGAGTAGAAGGCACCTTGTGGCATATGCTGACCTCAAGTGTAAACTTGTTGACTTTGGTAACGCGTGTTAGACATACAAACAGTTCACAAGNGACATTCAAACGAGACAGTATAGGTGTCCAGAAGTAATCCTTGGATCTAAATACTCTACATCAGCTGATCTNTGGTCATTCGCTTGCATTTGTTTCGAACTCGCCACTGGAGATGTNCTTTTCGATCCCCATAGTGGAGACAATTATGATAGAGATGAGGTATGCCTAAGTTTCTACTGTTTTTTTTTGGCTGCGTGGTGTCTACAGATTTTAGCTTTCTCTTATCCTGTTTGGTAAGAAGATAGTGTGGAAATGAGCTTTCATATCTTTTCAATTTTCTTTCTGTTATGTTGGAGAACAGATTAGAGGTATTTGACCAGTCCGTTAATTGGGAGCCTTTGCTATTTTAGAGAGATTAGGGACTCGAAAACTAACG